GGAGGCTTTAGTCCTGGAGGTCAGTACCGCCCCTGCTGGCCTCAGACTGTCAGGGGCATCCGTGGCAGGTGTCCTTCCACTACGGCGCGCAGCGGCTTGTGGTGCAGGAGGGTCAAGTTCGCCTGCCGTCAGCGTCATGTTGTGTGTAGTGTCTGTGGACCTCACTGCCCCTTCTATTTGCTTCCAGGACCTTTGGCGGTAAGTATTTATGCTCGTAGTAGGGCGCGAGTGACTCGTGCGGCAGAAGAGAGAGAACTGACTGCCTGAATGTGCTCTCCGTCTCAGCGGCGACTGTGAGTTGCTCTATAGCTGAACAACAGCGTTGTTTTTTTAACTCATTAAGTATACAGACGCACTTTTTGCATGCGTCCACTTAAGCAGATTTCCTCTGCAGCGGGTCACGAAAACCTCTGGCACGGTTCGGCTCCTCAGACGAGCGCGGGTGCCCTCGAAAGTAGAACCTGTACCGTTTCCACTCGCCAAACACAGTGTTTGCGGCCTTGAGGCCGGAAGGTTGTCTTTTGCTTCCGGCCAGTGTCGGTTTCTTTCTGGGTCCTCGAGGGCCAGTTTCGCGACGATGAACGCAAGGGAGAGCAGTCGCGGACGACTTTTTCCGCTCGCCAACGGTTCGAGGCAGTGTCGGTGACAGCACGTGGCGGCGGCCGACGATCAGGCTTCGTTAGGCATCAACTACCTGCTACCCTCGGCACCTACTTCGAGCACGTATACGTAGAGGTGCTGCCTTCTCGATCTGCTTATACTGGGCAACTCGGTCGCTGCCCACAAATCCTGGGAGTGCGCCTCTTCCGCAAGGGCAGGAGACGCAGGTCGTCGGTCGAATCACCTAAAGATGACTAGGCGGCGTGGCGGACTTGCCCCCAGAAAGGGCGGAAAGTCTTCGGAGTTATTTTTACCCGGGACGTACTACCCCGCCCTGGGACCCCCTACCTTTCCACCGATCTGTTCAGTGGTAGAGGGTCACTTGATGATTCGGTCGCGTGGTCCCGGACATTCGCCAGGCTCCCATTTTCGGGCGTTGTCGAGGTTGGGAGTGGAAGTGGTGCCCGGGCCGTCCCACAACGTTTGCTGGCAGAACCCACTGCGCGACGACGTTATGGCGCCACGGTCGCTCTTCCATTACAGTCTGTGTGGTTTGACCGTGACCAAACGTCCTAACTACAGTTAGGTAGAAGCGACTAGGACGCACTATGTCCCGGGCCTCCCCTCTGTGGCCCGAGGAGGTGACTTTGCGAGCTGCTGTTCCTAAGCAGGCGATGTGCTTGTGCTTACCGCCAGGGCGTCGTGGCTTAGGTAGTCCGCGACCTTGCAGACCCGCCGTAAAGAACCTCGGTTTTCCGTAGGCGTCCTTAGGTTTCTCAGGTTTTCCCGCATATGACGGCAAAACCTCTACAGGTCCCACGTACCCGTGGACCACCATAGGTGCGTGGTCCAGGTGGAACCTCTTTGGAAGCCGGCGCGGTCTACGCGACTTTAAGGGACATTACACGCCGTGGCCTCGCCAGTCACCATCACCGTAGCACTCAGCCGCCTTAGGGGGCAGGTCGTGCCCGCCTTTGGCGGCAAGACGATCCCGTGCGCACGTCTCCTCTCCGGTTCCGACAAACCTCGCCGCTAGGCTACGGGTCGGCCTGAGGTACCAACACTTAAGGCACGGGAGGACTGCCGATCGAATCTTCGTCAAGTTTGGCAGTCCGGGACCGATCTGACCTCCGGGAGCCACCCACTGCACCACGAGGTGTGGTATAACACCACTCGCGACCTCTTTCACCCCGTCGCTGTCTAGTCCTTTGAGCCGGTTTTCAGACTCTTTTTCAGGAGGGGGCTGTCGCCCTCGGGCGTCGGGC